GAAAATATTTCGATTGAAGTGTATTCTAACACTTTGTCCAACTGCTCAGAAAGTTTCCAATTAACCCCAAAGGATGTTTCCTTAAAAAATAGCGAAGCAATCTTTGACTTCTTCCACCATGAAAATATTTCGATTGAAGTGTATTCTAACACTTTGTCCAACTGCTCAGAAAGTTTCCAATTAACCCCAAAGGATGTTTCCTTAAAAAATAGCGAAGCAATCTTTGACTTCTTCCACCATGAAAATATTTCGATTGAAGTGTATTCTAACACTTTGTCCAACTGCTCAGAAAGTTTCCAATTAACCCCAAAGGATGTTTCCTTAAAAAATAGCGAAGCAATCTTTGACTTCTTCCACCATGAAAATATTTCGATTGAAGTGTATTCTAACACTTTGTCCAACTGCTCAGAAAGTTTCCAATTAACCCCAAAGGATGTTTCCTTAAAAAATAGCGAAGCAATCTTTGACTTCTTCCACCATGAAAATATTTCGATTGAAGTGTATTCTAACACTTTGTCCAACTGCTCAGAAAGTTTCCAATTAACCCCAAAGGATGTTTCCTTAAAAAATAGCGAAGCAATCTTTGACTTCTTCCACCATGAAAATATTTCGATTGAAGTGTATTCTAACACTTTGTCCAACTGCTCAGAAAGTTTCCAATTAACCCCAAAGGATGTTTCCTTAAAAAATAGCGAAGCAATCTTTGACTTCTTCCACCATGAAAATATTTCGATTGAAGTGTATTCTAACACTTTGTCCAACTGCTCAGAAAGTTTCCAATTAACCCCAAAGGATGTTTCCTTAAAAAATAGCGAAGCAATCTTTGACTTCTTCCACCATGAAAATATTTCGATTGAAGTGTATTCTAACACTTTGTCCAACTGCTCAGAAAGTTTCCAATTAACCCCAAAGGATGTTTCCTTAAAAAATAGCGAAGCAATCTTTGACTTCTTCCACCATGAAAATATTTCGATTGAAGTGTATTCTAACACTTTGTCCAACTGCTCAGAAAGTTTCCAATTAACCCCAAAGGATGTTTCCTTAAAAAATAGCGAAGCAATCTTTGACTTCTTCCACCATGAAAATATTTCGATTGAAGTGTATTCTAACACTTTGTCCAACTGCTCAGAAAGTTTCCAATTAACCCCAAAGGATGTTTCCTTAAAAAATAGCGAAGCAATCTTTGACTTCTTCCACCATGAAAATATTTCGATTGAAGTGTATTCTAACACTTTGTCCAACTGCTCAGAAAGTTTCCAATTAACCCCAAAGGATGTTTCCTTAAAAAATAGCGAAGCAATCTTTGACTTCTTCCACCATGAAAATATTTCGATTGAAGTGTATTCTAACACTTTGTCCAACTGCTCAGAAAGTTTCCAATTAACCCCAAAGGATGTTTCCTTAAAAAATAGCGAAGCAATCTTTGACTTCTTCCACCATGAAAATATTTCGATTGAAGTGTATTCTAACACTTTGTCCAACTGCTCAGAAAGTTTCCAATTAACCCCAAAGGATGTTTCCTTAAAAAATAGCGAAGCAATCTTTGACTTCTTCCACCATGAAAATATTTCGATTGAAGTGTATTCTAACACTTTGTCCAACTGCTCAGAAAGTTTCCAATTAACCCCAAAGGATGTTTCCTTAAAAAATAGCGAAGCAATCTTTGACTTCTTCCACCATGAAAATATTTCGATTGAAGTGTATTCTAACACTTTGTCCAACTGCTCAGAAAGTTTCCAATTAACCCCAAAGGATGTTTCCTTAAAAAATAGCGAAGCAATCTTTGACTTCTTCCACCATGAAAATATTTCGATTGAAGTGTATTCTAACACTTTGTCCAACTGCTCAGAAAGTTTCCAATTAACCCCAAAGGATGTTTCCTTAAAAAATAGCGAAGCAATCTTTGACTTCTTCCACCATGAAAATATTTCGATTGAAGTGTATTCTAACACTTTGTCCAACTGCTCAGAAAGTTTCCAATTAACCCCAAAGGATGTTTCCTTAAAAAATAGCGAAGCAATCTTTGACTTCTTCCACCATGAAAATATTTCGATTGAAGTGTATTCTAACACTTTGTCCAACTGCTCAGAAAGTTTCCAATTAACCCCAAAGGATGTTTCCTTAAAAAATAGCGAAGCAATCTTTGACTTCTTCCACCATGAAAATATTTCGATTGAAGTGTATTCTAACACTTTGTCCAACTGCTCAGAAAGTTTCCAATTAACCCCAAAGGATGTTTCCTTAAAAAATAGCGAAGCAATCTTTGACTTCTTCCACCATGAAAATATTTCGATTGAAGTGTATTCTAACACTTTGTCCAATTGCCCGAAATCCTCCAATTAATCCCAACCAACCTCACCCACCCATAAACTCCCGAAAGAAAGCCCCCGTCGCAAATCCCCCCAAGTAATCTCCCCGAGCAATCCCCCTGAAAAATAACGTCCTTAACCAAGCAAGCAAAGCAAACGAACCAGCACCAAGAGATCTCTCCATCCTCTCATCTATCCGGCAGCAGTTCCCCACGTTCCACATTCCCTCTAATCGTCCACCTCCACAGGTTAGCGCAACAACATCCGCCCATAAAAGCCTAGCATCCTCTTAGTAAAAATCCCTCGACGAAATTGTGCCACATAGCAGTGCTCTATCTCCGCGTGACGTTCTTCACCGTTCTTCGTCCAACGTTCAGACAGTCGATCCTCGACCGTCTCTCCTCTTCTCTGTGTGTAGTGTGTTCTTTAGTGCTTCAGGCAACACAGCCACCACTGGCTCAACTCGACTGGCCTGTCAGTGTACCTGCCGGCCAGACAAATTCCGGCCATTAAGCGTTCGAACGTCGTCCTCCTCTTCGTCGTCCTCCTCGTCGTCGTCGTCGTCGTCGTGTGCTGGCTGTGAACCCAAGTGGAGAGGAGGCCCCTGTACAGAATATAATGCCGCGTGGTGGATTGACCCTTGCGGTACTCCCACCATCCACGGCCATCACCTACACACACAGAAGAGGAGAGAGAGAGAGATCCGCCTGGCAGGCAAGCGTGTACCAAGCGTGGCCTGGCCTCCGGACGACGCGCCACGACGCCTATACGCTTCGAGTTTGCGCGACCGAGTCCGTACTACGTGCACAGGGGTCATATTCTCATCGACGATGCATAGCTTCTTCTTCTTCTTCTTCTTCTTCTTCTTCTTCTTGGCTACAGTTTGCCTTTAGTGTACAGTCGACCGAAACAGTTGGTCGTTGGATTGGTTAGTTGGTTTGGTAGAAAAAAAGGAATAGAGAGAGAGAGAGGCTAGACTGTGTTGCATCCTGATAGAAATCTGATCGCTCGTTACCTGTTCCCTCTCTCATGCGCCGCGTCAGAGATATCGTGACCGTTTTTGCAACGGGTCACGCCGGTTCAGATGCATTCAGGGCCCGTGCTCAGGCCCCGAAGCTGGCTTCGTATCAGAGCAAGCTTTATGGGGGACGCTGATACGGGGAACAAGTGGAGCGCCGGTACTGCGAACGGATTGATGACGCTCGAGAGGTGTGCGAGAAGAGATCGAGCTGATTTAGAGGAGATTGAAACGAGTAAGTGGGAATGTTTGAATTTTATTAACCCTTTCTTTAATCCAGCGTGACAAATTGTTTTCTTCTATGTGCCACTTTTAAATTAGTTTCTTAAATTAGAATGGAAGTGAATATAGGATCAAATTGAGGTGAAAATACGCCAAAATTAACGGTACGAGCAAATTTCCAAAGCGTCTGTAAACAAGTGCCAATAGCAACGAAGGGGTTAAGGGTTAATTATGCAGAAATTTAAAGAGAAGAACGAATCGGGTGACGTGAGCCAATCGCAACGAAATAGCGATTAGTATGAATTTCTCGACAGATGCTTCAACAGCAGAAGGGATTTTTATTTTTTAAATTACAACGGAATTTGTCCAATTACGTCGAAATTCAAAGAGAAAAACGAAGGGGAATATACTTTTACAATAGGAAAAATTTTTATTTCTCAAATTACAAAGGAATTTCTGTTAATTTTCCAAATTTGTCGAAGCCAATCACGCAGAAATTCGAAGAAAAAAACGAAGGAGACTACCATAAACTAGTATAACAATTAGCATAAAATCCTCAACAGATACTTTCACAATAGACAGAAATTTTTATTCCCTAAATCACGAAAGAATTTCTACTTGCAAAGCGATTCTGTTCGAATTCTGTTAATTGTTAATTGAAATTGTGGCTTTTGGTTCGTCGATCTTGGATAATTGTGTCTTCGGATTCGTTAGTCTTGGAAAATTGTGTTTTTGGGTCCGGCGATCTTGGAGGTATCCCGTTAATCTTGAAAATTCGCCCGAGCTAATGATGCAGAAATTGAAAGAGGAAAACGAAGGGGTTGGTAACGTGAGCCAATCACAACGTAGCGTTAAACGGTGCAAACTTCCCTCCTTTCGGTGGGCAATAAAAAAAGAAAAGAAAAAAACGTCAGAAGAGGAAGAAACGGCAATCGATTGAGTGCCTTTCACGATCCATTAACTCACAGAGTAACAGAGCGTACCCCTTAACGCGATAATACGTTCACGGTGTCGCGTTCAGAAACTACCGGATGTTAGCGAAACGCAAGCCGCAACTTTGGAAAGACGATACAAAATCGACAGGGGAATATGTCAGCCACTGTGCGTACATTAATTTCCTCCGCCACGTCGCTTCCAATTACCTCGCCTCTTCCAGTTAAAGTTACACATCTCAGAACTGCAAGTGAAAATCTGTCCGATTGAAAATTCCATTTTCTCGAATGTAAAAAAATTTTTTTTTTACAAAATACTGCTACGTAAAAGTGAGTTAAGAGCAAACTTCCTGCCTCGAGAGACGGCTCTTGCATAATCGAAGCCAAACAAGGAAGTGTCATAGACCCGTGTATGTGTGTAAAAGAAAGAAAGAAGGAAAAAGATATGCACGGATTAAAAACGCGTTAATTGAGCATCGATGACTGGATGAAAAACGTGCCGCAGATGTTTCCACTCACCGACAATGTTCGTGGTCTCTCTCTCTCTCCTCTTCGAGAGACGATGGCCCGATCCTTTCGATTTCCTATCGCTCCTGAAAAGCAAAGGTAGAGAATGATGTTAGTTGATTGGTCGCTGGTAATCGCCATGAAATTAAAACGATAGAATTATAATAGACACATGTGGTCCTGGGAAGATTGACTGTAATACGGGGGAAAAAAGGGAGAATGTTATCTCGATTGGAACTTGTTGCAAGTTCGACGATATCTTGGATGTTAATGGAATCAATGATTCTGTTCGAATTCTGTTAATTGTTAATTGAAATTGTGGCTTTCGGTTCGTCGATCTTAGATAATTGTGTCTTCGGATTCGTTAGTCTTGGAAAATTGTGTTTTTGGGTCCGGCGATCTTGGAAAATTGTATTTTTAGGTTCGTTAATCTTGGAAAATCATATTTTCAGGTTTGTCGGTCCTGGATAATCATTTTCAGGTTCGTCAACCTTGGAAAATCATATTTTAGATTCGCCAGTATTGGAAAATCATATTTTAGGCTCGACGGTCTTGGAAAATCATATTTTCAGGCTCGTCGGTCTTGGAAAATCATATTTTCAGGTTTGTCGGTCTTGGAAAATCATATTTTCAGGTTCGTTGATCCTGGAAAATTATATTTTCAGTTTCGTCAATTTTGGAAAATCATATTTTAGGCTCGTCAGTCTTGGAAAATCATTGTCAGGTTCGTCAATTTTGGAAAATCATATTTTCAGGTTTAACAATCTTGGAAAATCATGTTTTCAGATTTAACAATCTTGGAAAATCATATTTTCAGGTTTGTCAATCTTGGAAAATCATATTTTAGATTCGCCAGTATTGGAAAATCATATTTTAGGCTCGTCGGTCTTGGAAAATCATATTTTCAGGCTCGTCGGTCTTGGAAAATCATATTTTGAGTTTCGTCAATTTTGGAAAATCATATTTTCAGGTTTAACAATCTTGGAAAATCATATTTTCAGATTTAACAATCTTGGAAAATCATATTTTCAGATTTAACAATCTTGGAAAATCATATTTTCGGGTTTGTCAATCTTGAAAAATCATATTTTAGGTTCGCCAGTATTGGAAAATCATATTTTCGGCTCGTCAGTCTTGGAAAATCATATTTCAGGTTCGTCAATCTTAGAAAACTATATTTTTAAGTTCCTCAATCTTGGAAAATCGTATTTCAGGTTCGTCAATCTTGGAAAACTATATTTTTAAGTTCCTCACTCTTGGAAAATCGTATTTTCAGGTCCGTCAATTTTGGAAAATCATATTTTCAGGTTTAATTCGTTAATCTTTGTTTATAATAGTGTGTTTATTTGTTAACCTAGTTTTGTTTGTCAGGTATGTAGCGTGTGTGATAAACAAAGAATACAGTTTGACTGAAAAGGATTGAATTTTCTTCAGCAACGAAGATACACGATAAAAGAGAAAGAGTCACGAGACGGCGTTAACGAGCCATTTACCCGTTACGCCTTAATTTGTCCAGCGGTGCATGCACTCTTCCCGCTAACGACGATCAATCGTCAGAATTAACTTTCTGCTTCATTTGCGGCCTCGAAGGATCGTTAAACTCGCGAAGCTGGCTGGTCGCGCGCCTACGACTCGATCGATTGTAAAATTTAACGATCCTCCTCGTCTTATCGCGTCAATTCTAAATATCCAAAAATATCCATCTAAATATCCATCTCTTCCTTCGATTTTTCATATGGAAAATATAGAAATTTCAATTGTACGAACTTTCTTTTCCTGGAAACTCGACCTAACCGTTCGACCAGTTAATTTCCATAATCTTACCCTCTTTTAGAGTGAAAGGATAACCGAGTATTTTCCACTTGAATTCCTCCTTTGCAATCATAGTGGGGAAAGGGAATAACCTGTAGAAAGCTGGGCTAAATTTCTCTAAATTCACCCCTATAATTTTCTCTCAGAAATGACGAAAGTTCTTCGCAATTTTAGGGGGGGGGATTGGAAAGTTGGATTTGAAGTTTGAGAATTTCTGAATTCCAAAAAAGGAAATTTGTAAATTCCCAAATTTCAAAATTTCCAGAAACTACAGATTTTCCAATTCGGGGCTTGAGAATTCCCAAGTTCCAAATTAATAATTTTGGAGTCTCTAAAGTTCCCAAATTGGAACTTTTCCAAATCTCAAAATTTCCAGAAACTACAGATTTTCCAATTCGGGGCTTGAGAATTCCCAAGTTCCAAATTAATAATTTTGGAGTCTCTAAAGTTCCCAAATTGGAACTTTTCCAAATCTCAAAATTTCCAGAAACTACAGATTTTCCAATTCGGGGCTTGAGAATTCCCAAGTTCCAAATTAATAATTTTGGAGTCTCTAAAGTTCCCAAATTGGAACTTTTCCAAATCTCAAAATTTCCAGAAACTACAGATTTTCCAATTCGGGGCTTGAGAATTCCCAAGTTCCAAATTAATAATTTTGGAGTCTCTAAAGTTCCCAAATTGGAACTTTTCCAAATCTCAAAATTTCCAGAAACTACAGATTTTCCAATTCGGGGCTTGAGAATTCCCAAGTTCCAAATTAATAATTTTGGAGTCTCTAAAGTTCCCAAATTGGAACTTTTCCAAATCTCAAAATTTCCAGAAACTACAGATTTTCCAATTCGGGGCTTGAGAATTCCCAAGTTCCAAATTAATAATTTTGGAGTCTCTAAAGTTCCCAAATTGGAACTTTTCCAAATCTCAAAATTTCCAGAAACTACAGATTTTCCAATTCGGGGCTTGAGAATTCCCAAGTTCCAAATTAATAACTTCGGAGTCCCTAAAGTTCTCAAATTGGAACTCTCCTAAATCCCAAAAATCCCCAAATCTCAAAATTTCCAGAAACTCCAAATTTCCCAATTCATAGCTAAAACATTCTCAAATTCCAAATTAACAATTTCAGAGTCCCCAAAATTCCCAAATCTCAAAATTCCCAAAAACCCCAAATTTCCCACTTCATAGCTCAAGAATCCCCAAATTCCGAATAGAAAAATAACCTTCCGAGAACTTCGCGCAGCTAGGATGCCCAAAGGCAGCTTCACAGCGTCTCCATCGGGGAAACTGGGCTGATTCAACCTGGAATCTGGAACGAGCCCATGCAACGCGTTATCTGTTCGACGTGTTCACCTATCTGGCCCGGTTGCACGTGTGTTGTACACCCACACGGGCCGCCAGGTCCAAGAGAGCACGTCGATACAGCTCTCGGTTACCTAATCGCGCCGGTGCTCCATCGTCCACGGCATTGTCTCTCTCTCGGACCCCTTACCCTCCTGTCTTCGCTGTTCTCCAACGGGGTACCCAGTACTCTGGCCGGGTTCAACGACGCGTGAACGCAAACTTTACTCGTTCCATTACATTTTCTACTTGGATAATCCGGTGCAGACCGAGAGAGCCTGTCGCCGACACGCGGTGTCACGTTCCGGAGACTGGTACCGCTGCTCCTCTGATCGGGACATCGTCCTCGACCAATTTTCTCTGATAGATTCGACGATAGGAATTGGGGGGTTTTATCGCTGAGGGACTGTTGCAACTGGAATTTAGTTGATCTCTGCTTTAGGCGAAGGTGAGTAGAGGATTCAGTTTTGTGCGACAGATGGAAGATGGCGATTTTGGTTTTATTGCTGGGAAATTAAGGTGATCCTTCTTTCAGTAGATCGAGAGGATCTTTAATTTTGTCTGATGGAGGTAAGATGAAATTTTGCTGAGGAACTGAAGGAGGAATGAAGGTGATCCTTCTTTTAATTGAAGATGAATGGAGGCTTTAGTTTTTTATGATAGATGTAAGATAGAAGTAGTGAATTTCATTGCTGAGGACTTGGAAGTGGAATAAAGTTGGTCCTTCTTTTAATTGAAGATAAATGGAGGCTTTAATTTTATGGGCTAGAGGCAAGATGGAAATTGTGATTTATCACTGAAGACTTGAAAATGGCAGAAAGTTGATCTTTCACTTGGCAGAAGACGAGCAGAGAGCTTCAATTCTGCATGATAAAAGTGAAATGAAGTTGATCCTTCTTTTAGCAGAACATCACTAGAACCTTCAATTTTTAAAATTGTTGCCTCAAAGGACTACCTTGCATTTCACCAAATTCTTACAAGAAAAATGATCCAGAAGTCACTGCAATCTTCAAACCTAAACCTCCCCAAAAATTACCTTTCTTCTCCTATAAATTCTAGTAAAAAGAATTATCAAACAGAATTTCCAACTAAAGTCCCACAAAAAGAAACCACCTAATCGGACTACCTCAATCTTATCAATTCTCTCTCACGTCACCATCTACCCTCGATCGAATCTCACACACGATATCTCCCCCGAAAAAAAAACGAACCCCGCATAGATGTTCAGGAAAGGGAGAATATCAACTAGGCGAGTCCGGCGGAGTCATTAAATTTGCCGGAGCGGTCGCGATTATCGGCCGGTTGGCTCGTTTCCCGTTTTATCTGCCCGCTGGATCCCGTGTTCTTCGTCGGCGACACGGCGCAGAGAGCGAGTCCGTTGGCGTTTCGCGGATTCGCCGGGCAAACGAGATCGTCGCCGATAGATATGGCCGCTCGCGGGTCCGGCTGGAAACGCGCGAAACGCGCGCTTAAACACTTGGACAAATTGAGGCCGGCCAGCGTGTCCGCTCCACGCTCCGACGCGTAAATATGCAACCGCGTGGGCCGTGTTTCTCCTGCACGCGAGCTCTGCATACGATCTTTTTTTCCACCGGCTGTACGCTTCCAAGTTCTCGTACGCTTACCCTTGCACAGGGCGCGTGCCTCTTGGAGAATTTAGATTACCGCTGATTGCAATTTCTTCTCATTACTCCCTTCGACCCGGTGTGATACGAATTTTCTGGAGGAATCTAGTGAGTTTTTTGGGGGAAATTCGTGGAGGAACGTGTATTACTTAGTTATTGTGTTTTTTATTGCGAATCGAAGAGTGGAAATTATTTCTTTGTGCGAGTGTTATGTGTTTACTGGATTAATTAGAGCGATTCGGTTTTTCTATGAAAAATTTGAAACTATTTTATAGATAACGACCCAACGGGAATCGAACCCGGGACCTTCGGCTCAG